CATCTCCTGCACAGCCCTGATGGTGGGGGGACATGACTTGAACACACCAAGTTGGGGAACAGGAGCTTTTGACAGCGCCACATCCAACGCCCAGCTGCTCGAGACTGACGTTTCGCATGCGAAGCTGACAGCTTGGAGCTCTCGAGCTGACAACTAACCGGTTCTGAACAGCAGATCAATCAACCGTTCTTTCAAGGCTTCAATTTGATGCTGACCGGCTGCATGGTACCTCTACTACCCGGCCCTCCATCAAAATGAAGCAATCTGAAGCAACAATCCTCGCGGCTCAATACCAGCAGTCTTCAACAGCAGCTTTGGTCGCACAAACACCACACCACAAGCAAATCAGGCTTGCAGGCAACAGCTATGGACGCCTCCAAGCCACCATTGGGAAGCTGCGAGTTGCGGCACGGCTTCGAGCTTACGACTGCTGAACAGTCCAGAAATGCCAGAAATCTGGTACGCCTACGAAGTTATGACGACCCCTAGATCGCCAACCATGTCGCCATTGTTGAGATCGAGCGTCGTTTCGTCTGATGCCTTTATTCGTTCGTGGTAGGGGCTGTGGTAGCACTGATCTGCTCCAAGGGCGTCCGCCTAGGCAGTTCACCCCGGCCATGAGCCTCTGGCCAACGTGGGCAGTCCGATGCGACCAACACCACCGATCACGGACTCGATATGCATTCACCCAACCAACCAATAACCGCGAGATTGCATCGTGAATGACAAAGGGAAAGAACCGAGACTCGAGGCGGTGAAGCATCGCATCGCAGCAGTCACAATATCAGGGGAACGGGGGAGCAGCCGCAAAGGCTCTCCATTTCGTGACACCTTCACCGTTTGACAGCTCCGTGTCTCGGATGAAGAAAATGGGCTGCATCGCCGCATGATAACGGAAAGGCTTAGGTCAACTGTCTCGATGCCCAGCCTGCATTATTCGGTGTTCTCGTGAGGCTCATTGAGAAATGCAGTGGCCGTGCTCTGGAGTACCGTTTTCCGCCAAACATGAACCATTGCCGGCAGGCAGTCATTGCCAGCGGCACAGCACAGCTTGCGCCGTTGCGGAACCCACGAACACGAAGGTTGGCTTATCGATACCTTGCCGTTAGATCCCTCGCCGGGCGTGCCGGGGAGCTTTCAGCTTGACGACCGAGGCGCAGACTGCGCAGTGCATTTGCGGGTCTTTCTCCTCACCTGAGGAGACTTGTCGATCGCCGAGCACGATAGCCAGAAACAAGCAAATGCTTGGCAGGAACAGAAATCGGTGATGAGTCTTGTCGAGCTCTCGTCTCGCCAGTGCTTCAAGCGCACAATTTCCATCATACCGGCTGCTATGTACGTGTACGATAACATATGCCAAGGAGTTGCACAGATGCAAATGACCCCGCAGAACATGGAGCATCGTCAAGAACATCGTTCTCAAGTTTATGAACAGCTTCCATCTGCAATTTGTATCTACAAGATGTCACAGATGACTACCTGGGAACTGAGAAGCTCAATCCACTTGAGTCAATCTAGGTGGAATATCCTCAGCAAGCCATGAAATGCCGACTTAGCCAGTGCCTGACTCCATCAACATGCCATGGGAGCCGACTTCTTCGTATTGCGACTTAGCTTAAGCAACGGCTTGCGACCTTGCGCAAAGCTATCAAAGACTTCGAACCTCAAAGTTCTACGCAACGGGCGAAAGTATAAGCCCCAGAAGCATCACATTACTGCAACGGCGGGGTAATCGTCCAGCCAAATCGCAGCATTGAGGGGAAGGTCAAGCTTGCTTGGCCTCTTCAGACGGTAGAACAATGCATATCAGCTTTAGGCTGTCACACAATTGAGCCTATCACTAAGCTACCGGCTCCTGCACTAACCTAGGACCGTCGCGTCTGTGCCGCTACTCGCCGGGCGTCAGCGTCACTCATCCTGCATCGATATCGTCCTGCAGCCTCGCTGCCCCGCCATGTGGACTTCGCACCCCATTATCTCCTTGGATGCCCCGATCCTGACTTGAGCGAATAGAAAACACAAAGACGTGAGCAAGGCCTAAGATTCTTCCCGAGACATCATCTCAAGCAGAGAGACGTCTTCCCCTGTATCATTGTATCCAGAGCTCCAAAGTACCCTTGTACTATCGCCCGGCCCGCACCGAACCCCGCGCGAAGAGCTTCCCGCTAGCCCCGCGAGCCCCGGAATTGCCGTCTTCAACTCAATATCTCAATCTACAGAAGAAGCCATATCCTCCCTCGCCGTTAAAGATCAAAAAGCTCGCAACGATGGCCGTGACGGAGCTCGCCCTTCTCCAATTCAAGGAGCCCCTCACCGAGGAGGTCAAGGAGCTCATGGACTACTGCCAGACCGTTCAGGACACCTGGGTTCTGCGCCAGAAGCCCGGTCTGCCGCCAACCCGGATAGAGCGCGGAACCGCCATCCTCCAGCAGGTCGAGGACCCGACCGTGATACTCCTGGCGGCGCAGTGGGATTCGCCGCAGGCGCATGGGGAGTGGATCGCGTCACCCGAGAACCAAAACGTCATGGCCAAGCTCATGCCGCACATTCACATCGAGGGCCCGCGGAGCGTGCTATTTTTTCACATTGACGCGCCCATCTTTGCGAAGCCCACATCGGCGCCCTCAGAGACGAAGGACGGGGCTGCGGGAGCGGAGGCGGAGTCCAAGGACAAGCAGCCGGAAGCGCCGGCACCCGAGGAAGAGAGCAAAGCAGAGGGCAAGAAGAAGGCGCAAGACGAGCCGCCATCCCTCCTGACGGCGCCGGTGCTCAGCGTTGGGCGGTTCGGGGTGAAGTCGGAGAAGAAGGAGGAGTTTGTCAAGAAGTACGCCGAGGCCAAGTGGGTCGTCGAGGAGTCGTCGAAGCCGTTCCCCGTCCGCGGCGGTTGGCGGATCGAAAAGGCCGCCGAGAACCTCGAGGAGTATGTCATGTACTGCGGCTGGGAGACGGTGGAACAGCACAAGGCGATTGCGGAGCACGAGGGGTTCAAGGAGTGGGCGGGTATTCAGGAGTTTGTGACGGGGACGGACATTTGGCACTACAAGCGGCTCATGTGAGGTGCCTGTGATGGTACACACGTTGATAAACCAGAGACGCGGAGCGGAGCCTTTGGCGTTTAGATGGTAGATGGCCTAAGGGTGCTACTGGTACTGTCCGGTCTGCTAGAGAGGAGCTTGCAAGAGAGGAGCATAGCCGTCAGGGAAAGAAAGGAGCACGGGTGGTGGCAGTCTTTTGTGTTGTGTTCAATGGTTTCTTCGTTGGCGGGAAATGTCTGACTAGCAACGAAAAGTTGACAAAGTCTCCATCTCATCTCGCAAATTTGCCTAGGTGATATTCCTCGACGCCATGTATGTGGTGACACAGGTTTGCCCCTCCCATCTCTCGTACCGCCTCTTTCAAGATGGACAAGGAAAAGAGAGAAACGAAACACTGCGCTTTCAAAATCTCCCCATTTTCCCCAGATAGACCGACCGGCCAATAGCCCCACGAAAGACACACAGAACCCAGGGGAGGAACGAGCAAAATTTCATTCCATTGACCTCATGACAGGCTACTCATGCTTTTCTTTTCCCTCTTCATAGACCCATCGAAGCTAAGTTTTGACGATTTTTTGTTCGAAACGTTTTTGACGGAAATCCCTTATGCGGAGGACTTGCCCTTGGGGTTCTTCTTGGGGACGTCCTTGATCTGGAGCTCTGTGGGGGGATTGTGGTTAGCTTCAGTTTCCTGTATTGGCAAATCGCCTCGGCCTGGCAATTCCTCTTTTCTCTCCTCCTCGATTGCGCACGAGAGGTTCCGTAAGAAAGCGAAGCTCGGGCGCATAGGAGAGAAAAAACTGCGCCGAAGCGTAAGGGCGGTGGAAGAGTAGGGGGTTTATAACGTACGAGGGGGAAGGGACTGCTTGAGCTTCTCGGCCTTGTCGGAGTCCTTGAGGACGAGGGTGTAGAGGTGGCGCTGGCAGCGGACCTTGAACTTGATCTGGGAGTTCTTGGTGCTCTTCTTGATGCGAGCGGCTATAATTGAAGGACACGCGTTAGAAATGCCGTCCTTTTTCCTTCTTCCTAGAGTTCTCCCCAATTCCTTCAAAAGCTCGAGGTTCATTTTGCGTTCTCGCGAACACGAACACGGTCGTTTATTCTCGTCGGGGCTTCGTCGGGTGGGTAGATAGTAAGGGGGGGGTTCAGGTGAGCATACAGGAAGCGTCCTTTCTCCGGGCAATCTCAATGAACTACGGAAACAGCAAATGTTAGCCAATTTTCTCTCGGCAAACTCTGCACGAACAACAGTTCAACGTAAACAACATACCTGCTTGATATCACCGATTTCGCGAGGCATCTTGGCGGTATTTTTCGGGGGGGATTGGCGACAACGAAGGAGGGGGTCTTGTCTGGTCGGATTGAGTGGTTGCTGTCGTGAGACTTTCGTGGGCTCTTTTTCGATGGAAAATTGATTTTGTGGGATGGACCCCTGTGGCAGTGAAACGCACGGGCCAGCTCTAGTACTCGGCCGGGGAGGGACTCGACGATTGGCATTGGCGATTTGCATGCACATTGCGAGGTTCCGACCTTATCTTATCGGGGCGGGCTGGGAACTTGGACCCCGTCGGGAGGTTCGTCACCGAGCACACCGAGGAGCGGAGTCGGGTCCCGTCGGGTTCCTCTTCTCCCCCCCCCCACACAGCCACAGGCAGTACCACCACTTTCAGATGGGACGTCACTGTGGCACGCGTCACACCACACCCTGAAGCTCTCGGGGTAGACGTGGCGCTGGACCCAACCTGACCCTCGGCCTGTACCTACCTTGGCATGGGTTGACGACGCTTCAACTCAATCTAGTCTTTAAACGAACACGTCGCATAACACGTTGCTCAAAGGGGGTTCTTTGCTCTCTCTCCCCGAATCACTATATATACGGCGCGTTGTTAGCCAAATAGGAAACCTGAGGCTCTAGCTTTCTGTTGCACAAGACACACTGTCACTGCACCGCCACATCTTGACACGATGCCTACACCACTTGACAATGCCATGAGATCCAGGGTCCGTATTTCTCACTATGACTTCGTCTAATTACCCTGCTAACATTCCGACAGAATGCGGTACTCGGTATGTCCTTGTGCGATACCGTTCAACGACAGAATTGATCGCTAACCGTCACCAGCATTCGGTGGCTTGGTCACGGCCGTAGCTGTCTGGGCCATCTACGGTGGCGACATGTTTCCCGCCGGGGCGGATCCCACAGGCAACCCGGAAGATTGGACCAGAGAGGAGATGAGGAGATGGCTCGCGGCGGTATTTGCAGCTCTGTTCTCCGTCTCGGTCATTGTTTACTTATATGTATCATAGCGAAACCTGTTTCCGCAGGAGAACGACACGAGAGAGGAGCTTCTGGCACGTGTGTTGGCCAACATGAGAGCTCCGAGACGGTGAGCCCTGAAACTTGGCTCTATTGGAAGACAAGTCTAGCTTTGCTTTCAATGCCTAATGCGATTGATTCCATTTGCTTCCTTGACTGAGTAGTCACCATCCCGTTCATTGGGTGACCTAGTAATAATACAAAGATGTCTGCGGAGTGTGAACCCCGGTGATGCTTGTGAAAGAAGCAAGCACTCTATACATTCAACCCCCTTTACAACTCGTCTCTTCCAGAGGTCTTGCCGACGGTAGGCTCCTCCGACGTGACCTTGCCCGTAGACTTCCAGTTGAGCGCATTGAGGCGCTCTGACAGGTGCGGGTGAGAGAAGTGGTAGGTCGCGTACATCCAGTCGGCGTCCATGGAGCTGAGGTTCTGGATCTGGAGCTTGAGAAGGGATCTAGCCAGCTCAGCCGAGTATCCGAGCTTCTGGGCAAAGGCGTCGGCCTGGAACTCGTACTTGCGGCTCAGGATGTTCATGAGCAGCTTGACGACGGTATCCATGGGGGAGAGCGCATCGGAGAAGAGGATGAAGCCGATGATGATGGGGTGCTCTGTGAGGAAACCGAAGTCGGCGTACAGGGAGTTGTTGCTGATGAAGACGGAGAAGAGAGCAAAGATGTAGAGGAAGTGGGCCTGTCGCAAAGTTAGTGAATGACATCGAGCCGATTGACTGCAAAGACATACCTGGGAGATGCCAAAGAGGCGCGTGGTGTGACCGAGACTCCAGTGACCAAGCTCGTGGGCCAGAACGGCAACAACCTCCTGTGTCTCGCTCTTCTCAATGAGGGTATCGTAGATGACAATGTGCTTCTTCCAGGGGAGACCAAAGAAGTAGGCGTTGCTGTGGGCGCTGCGCTTGCTTCCGTCAATCACATAGAGCTCGTGGAGGGGGAAGTTCAGGCTCTTGGCAAGGCTCTCGACGCCGTTCTTCAACTCGCCCTCTTCTAAAGGCGACAGCTTGTTGAACAGGGGCAGGATGGCGACCGGGTAGATTGTGATCATGAAGACTTGGAGACCAGCGGCGAAGGCCCAGAGGTAGAAGAAGAACTGGTTGCCCGTCTTCTGAACAATGGAGAGGAAACCGGCGAGGATCGGGGGAGCGATGACAAAGGCGAGGAGCTGGGACTTGATCATGTCGGTAATGAAGAGCTTGGGCGTCTGCTTGTTGAAGCCAAACTTCTCCTCCAGCACGAAGGTCTGGTAGATGGAGCTGGGCAGCGAGAGAACCTGCTGGATCATGATGAAGGCGAGGACGAAGACGATGGACTGGGATATCTCGCCGGAGAAGCGCGCCGGCGCGAACTTCAGCAGCAGGTTACCGGACCATGACCAGAGCTTGGGGAGGACGTCGAATTGGATAAAGGCAATGTTCTGGATCTGACCCCAGAGACCGCTGATGAAACCGAATTCCGCTTTGGCGCGGCCGTAGGCTTGAGACTTGTCGAAAACTTCCTGGGAGACTTCCTGTTCGAGGACCTTGGGGGGCTTGGTGTTTTTGAGGACTTGGTACTGGCGGAGCGAGAGGAAGCTCTCAAAGACGAACTGGCCGACCGAGAAGCCGAGGATGAGGCGCTTCCACGGGAAGAGAGGTCGGTCCAAGAACCGCGCGAGGCGTTGAAGGAAATCCATGTTGGCCTCTCTTTGCTTTTCTTCGGATTCCGGAGGGGTTGCAAAGGAGGGACAAGAATGGAAGATATTGGAGTTTGTAGACGGAGGGAAAGAATAGCAGGGCCAGGCTCCGGACCTTGTCGCAAGCTGGGTCTGACAGCTTGGGTACGGAGTACGGAGTATTGTTAGCTCAGGCAAGCTGTCCACAGTGAGCCAGCGAATGGAACCAAGTGGGGGCGGGCAGGTTGCGGTTCGGGGCTTGCGGCTGCCGGCAAAGACGATCATTGGCTGCGATGACTCAAGCTTACCCCAACTTTAATTGGCTGAAACACCCGCCTCATGCAATGTCTTGCGTGCAGACGAAAGCCCCGTCCGAACGGTGGAAACCCCGTTTGGTGCATGAGCGACGGGAACTGCCGTTCGATTGCAGGAAAGTCTTCCCGCAAAATCTCGAAGCTGGTGATGGTGACACTTTGAGCTCCACGCCGCTCGAACGACCGCCACATAACTGCCGCCAAGATGATGCGCCAGTCCATCACAAGCCTGGCGAGGAGCTTTCTTGCCCGCCCGGCCACTCAGCCGGTGCGCGTCGTCGCTCAATTGACATCACAAAGGTGTGCCATAACCCCCTTAGGAGTAGTAGTGCAAACAGCAGCTAACCGGCACCATAGGACGTTCTCCTCCTTCCCCTCGCTGCGTCCGTCCATCACACCTCTCACATCCGCCTTCCGCCGGTCGAATGCCACGCCGTTCACTCCCTCGACTGCAGACGGCGCCATCGCCGACTTGGTCCCCACGAGCGCCATCTCGGAGCACCCTGCCCTGGGCGCCATGCAGCTCCGCTGCGGTCCTCGCAACACCATGAACCGTAACACCCGCCTGATCCAGAAGCGCAGACACGGCTTCGTCTCCCGCATGAAGACCAAGGACGGACGCAAGATTATTGCACGGAGGCGCCAGAAGGGCCGCACAAAGCTCGGCGTTTGAATGTAGCGTGGGAGGATAAAACTACGAGAGCCGTCGGAGGGAAAATGAGCCATCGCTATAGACGAGGACAGGAGGGCTCAATCGTCTCAGGAAAGGCCTTCATCGAATGTTTCGCCAGTATAGGGAATGGCGTGCCGCAAGTCGGGCTGAATAAAGACTCGGACATTAGGGCCTCCGAGTGAGGTAGTGTTCAATATGTATCAATAAGAAGCCAATGTACAACAAATCAACCAGCGGGGCCCAGGGAGTTTGTAGTTGACCGTTGAACCCTGCGGGAGCAGCCGGCAGGGCCTGGTGAGGTTGCTCGCTGACAGTCCCGGCATTAAGCAGATCTGCTACGTGCACCCGAGAATTCATATTGAAGAGGTGAAAGTCTACGAAGCTCAGTTACGGCCGTGGTTCTCAATGCATAGGGCAATGAGCTTGTGTTCCTGACGAGACGCCATCAACCGTGTGCCATCGGTCACGGCGAACGTTCAGCAAACACGAAAAGCAGTATATGTGCACATTTGTCGCGAGGCATTCTGTTCGGTCCGCACTCTCCAACGAACCCGCTTAGTTCCACGACTGCCTCGTACTTCACAGAGTCTATTCAAAGCCAACATATCGTGCCCATGTAACGTGCCTCTTCCACCACACCCCTGCCAAGATCCGAAGGGGAAAAGAGTGTGAGCAGTGAAGCCGGCGCTACTCCGGTTCCGGCCCCGAAGCAAACCGGACTTGTTACTCCGCACGGCCGGCCATTGACACTGTTTCCATCACCTTCATAGTTCATACTATCAAACTTAAGAAGACCTTATCGAATGGCATTTTGTCCGCATACCTTAGTCTTTAGGGATAATAGAGAGAAAAGAAACGTTATCTTGATCGACACGAATGTCACATGATTCGACGCATCCAGGGATGGGGGGTCCACGGGGTGGATCAACATTTCGTCATACTCAGTCAGGGAAGCTCAAACGCTTTCTGCGCGCGTCGGGATGAAAAAGCAATGAACTCATAGCTTGAGCAACTTTTTGACTTTCGATAGTGACATCGGTGGCTCGAACCCCCACACAAGTTCAACGGTTCTTAAAACGTAGCTCCCGTTCTAATTTACTCTAGGTGGCTGTAGCAGAAGCTTCTCTTTCGCTTTCATTTACTGGTGAAGTAGCTTATCCCTGTCAGACTCACTTACACATCTATTCGTGCCACACAAACAAAACCAAGAGACACAACAATGCCTCCCAAGAGACGCTCAACCGGAGCCGCGTCCGGCGCCAATAAGAAGGCCAAACCCACTGCTCCCGAGGCCGAGGCATCCTCACCTGCACCTGCACCCGCAGCTACCGATGACGACCGCGGCAAGAACCGGTGGCCTGCCAAGAACACCCGCTGGTCAACTGTCTCTGCGTCACGTAACGCCGACGAGGACTACAAGAAGGCCTGCGAAGAGGTTGCCTATGCCTTTGAGTATGTAGTCCGATGTCCCTTTGGCACCAGGCATGGCGATGACGAGGAGGAAGACGACGAGGATGACGAGGACGAGGAAGAGGACGAAGAAGAGGAAGAGGACGAAGAAGAGGAAGAGGACGAAGAAGAGGAAGAGGACGAAGAAGAGGAGAGGAAGAGGAAGAGGAGAGGAAGAAGAAGAGGAGAGGAAGAGGAAGAAGAAGAGCCTCAGCCCAAAGGCAAGGGCAAGTCCAAATCCAAAGCAGCCGACAAGAACACCAACAAGAAGAAGACCAACGCCAAAGACAAAGACAACTCCAAAGACCTCGCCATCATTGAGCTCGAAAAGCAAAAGCCCAAACAGAAATGCGACGGCGGCAAGACATGCCCCTGCACCAAGCCCGCGGCCGAGCACCCGGACGCGCCCTACGTGATCACAAACGCCGGCTTCCACAAGCTCATGAACCAGCAGGTCCACTGCCAGCTCCGCGACCCGGACAGCTTCCGCATGTACACGTACAACGACCACATGGCCTACGGCGTGCTGCAGGTCCTGCAGAACCTCATGCTCGACTACGAGGAGGCCAAGGGCAACTGGCGGGAGCAGTGGGTTATTTGCGAGGCGATTTGCCCGTTTATTTGGTACCTTAATGGTGGTGACTTTGCCATGTAAGTTTTTGCTTGTCACGCGTGTTGTGTTTTCCATCTCTGCGAGCTTGAGTTTTATTGATATACTTTGTGTCAGGGCCGACGACGGCGAATTCGTCGACGAAACAGCAAAACTCATCGGCAACCTCTTCCTCGCAACCCTCGCCCGCCTCGAGCGCGAAGGCGTCCTCGCTCCGGACTCGGAAGTGCAGGACCTAGGCTGCGTCATGGCCGGCATGCTCAAAACCGCCTCCGCCTTCCGCGGCTTCGACCTCTTACATGACGAGACCGTTCACAAAAAGTCCAAAAAGCGTCCTTTCCCCTTCACGGCCGAGAACTTTGACAGCTACGTCGCCTCGTATGCCAAGAAGCACGGCATCACCCTCAAGGGCGTCCCCGGGCTCAAGGCCCTCGTCAAGGATGTCAATGATGAGGAGGAGCTGCCCGACGCCGGGGACCACGGCGAGGACCCTTGGGGGTGGGCGGATGCGCTGGCGTCGTATAAGAAGGGTAGGAAGATTGGCGGGGATGATTTGGATATTACGTCGTGGACGCCTGCGAAGAGGAAGCAGCATGCTTTTAGTAAGAAGGATCCGTTGGGCAAGAAGGAGATTGATGCTATTAAGAATGGTATGGTTATGATGCTGGGCTGAGAGTTGGGTCTGACTCTGGTGTTGGATCGGGTATTGGTCTGGGAGCTGCTTTTGTGATTGTAGTCGTGAGAGATACCACCCTGTATTATTAGACTGAGACTACCGTGATCAAATTCCGAAAAGTTGCATATTCAACAACAGTCGCCGTTGACACCGTTCTTTCTACAGGAGACTCGATCTTAACAGCCTGTTCGCTACTAATCGACAACTATCAAACGCCCCTTACACATTAATAGATCGAAGGAGAGTTCAGAAGAATAACTAAACACAAGAAAAATCAAATAGGGCTAGCCAGTCCAGCCTCACACGTCTTGGTGTCCGTATAACAAGCCGAAAACAACTTATCACTCGCCTCTCCGATCCAAATCTTATACCTCCCAGTGGGATTCGGCACGATCCAGTTCTGGCTAACCACATCCCACACACTCAAATCCCGCCTCGTCAGCTGCAGCGTCACAGTGGCACTCTCTCCCGGCGCCAAATTCTTCGTCTTGACAAAGTCGCGCAGCTGAATCACCGGCGTCTCGGGCCCGCCGCCGGGGAACTGCACGTACGCCTGCGCGGACGCTTTACCCGAGTACTTGGAGCCCGTGTTGGTCACCTTCACCGACACGGAAAAGACAACGTCAAAGAGGGCAGGGTTGCCGCCCTGCGCGCCGCCGGCGGGGGGTCCAGGCTTCTGCGCCGTGCTGTAGCCCTCTGGGTACGGGTACGTCTCCGTCTTGGAGGCGGCGACGGCGTCCTTGGCCTCGGATTCGGTGCACCAGGAGTAAATGTACCGGAAGATCTTGTTGAAGCCGGACGGCGCGACGCCCTCGGTCCAGTCGGGGATGGGCGCGGTGTATGTCAGGATGCCCTGCTTCGCGGGGCGGGCCGGCGGAGTTGCGCTGAGCGCCGTGGCGGAGCTGATGGTTGCGCCGGTGTAGGTGAAGGCGGTGTAGCTCAGTCCGTGGCCAAAGGCGAAGCGCGGCTTGATGCCGTTCTTGTTGAGGTAGCGGTAGTCGATGTACAGGCCCTCGGAGAAGGTGTCCTGGGGCTGACCGAGAGAGCCGCCGACAAGCTGGGTCACGGAGTCTGGGAGGTCGGATTCCTTCTTGGTCATGCTGTAGGGGAGGTGGCCGGAGGGGGATGCTGCGCCAAAGACGATGTTGACGAGGGATTCGCCTGCTTCCTGGCCGGGGAGATGGGCGACCAGAACGGACTTGACGCTGGGGAGATCGATCCACGAGTCGACGACGATAGGTCCTACAGAGTGTATGACGACCACGACATTGGAATACTTTGCGGCGGCGTCCTGGACCAGCTTGTTGCCGTTGTGCCAGGCGTCGAGACCAGACGAACTGCGGTCACCGTTGTTGCCTTCCACGACGTACTGGTTCTCTCCAGAGTCCGAGGTAATGAAGACAAACGCAACATCATCCGCGGTCGGGGCCGGCACTGAGGGGAAGGAGTCGGTGTTGTAAAACGTGACGTTGCTGGCCCTCTTCTTGAACGCGGTGATGGGATCGTCAAGGTAGACGTAATCAACCGTCCCCGAGCCCCAGCCGATGCCAAGCAGGCCCTTGTTACATGACCGATCGGCACAAGCGTTGGGGCCATCTGGGTTCGTTATCGCGTCGGTGCCAAAGACCTTGATCGACGCCGAGGTGGCAATGGGCAAGAGGCTGCCGTTGTTCTTGAGCAGGGTGATGGCCTCCTGCGCGATCTGCCTGGCCACGAGGTAGTGGTCCTCCTGCACTTGGACCATTTCGTTGACGACGCCGCTGGGGGAGAAGGGGAAGGCTCCCGGGTAGAGATCTCCCACCCTGTTGCGGGTTCCCGTGGCGAAGTTGAGCGCGGGGAAGCCCTGGTCCTGACCCATCTGGTACCAGCTCGCCAGGACTCTTGTGGCCATGTCGTTAATGCGGTCCACGGGGACGGATCCGTTCAGAACAGCTCTGGTGAGGTCGTACATCCAGTAGCTGTAGCCCGTCAGGGGAACTTGCTGGTCGCCCGGGGCGTTGAAGTCCAGACCCGCGAGGGCGGAACCGACGCCGGACATGTGTGACAGCCAGTCGCTCATGACGAAGCCTTGAAAGCCGAGTTCGTCTTTCAGAATGCCATTGATGAGGTAGCTGTTCTGGCTGCATGCCGAACCGTTGACCTAGTTCCCGTCAGCTGAAGTCTCAAGGATGTATGCAAAACACATACCGCATTGTAAGCTGTCATCACGGACCCTACGCCTGCATGCACACCATCCGCAAAAGGCCATAGGTACAGCTCATGTAGAGTTCGGTCATCTGTCGTTGTTAATCGACGAACCAAACACCGCTTCTCTCTGGATCGACAACGTACCAATGTTGGAGCTGTAGCCCTGCTGCAGAGGGTTATACATGCGATACATCTCCTGCTCGTTGCCAATAAGATGCTTGATCGTGGCAATGACACCCTGCTCCTGGACGCCCTTGATCGTCAGAGCAGCAGCCTTACCCTGCAGCGCAGGATCGGCCCCAAAGCCCTCCCAGTTTCGGCCACCACGGGGCTTTCGACTGGTGATATGGTCAGCGTTCTATGGCCAACTTGATCACATCATCAGGGACATACCCTATGGGACCCACGCTCGGTCCCAGGTAGACGTTGGCGCCTTTGCCTCGGAACTCCTTGCCTATGGCAACGCCGCGAGCGTACATCAGGTCCTTGTCAAAGGTGGCGCCGGTCGTGATGCCGGACGGGAACACCGTCACGTTATCGGCCTGACGGAGACCGGTTGCTGAGTCTGCGAGGCATAGCTGGGGGAAACCGACACGGAGAGCGCTGCCAGAGTTTCCAACGCAGCGGCTTGGGCATAGTTAGCAGGAGTTGTTTGTGTTGTCAGTGATGAACGCACCCTAGGCATGTTAGTTGAACGAGTTCTACGAGATCGCTCACGAAGGTACTTGAGACTCACCCATGAAGATGCCAGTTCCGGATGTGATGTTGGTCTTTTCAGCCAAAGTCATCTTATCGACTACAGCTTTCGCCCTCCTATAACTGTCTGTCCAGTCCGAGGCCCAGCCGCCGTATGGCGCTGGGTAGTAGGGCGCGGCCACATATCCGGCAGGCACATCGGATCTCACTGATATCACGGCAGCGTCGCAGGACGAGATCTGACTTGCGAGGAGGGTTACGGCCAAGGACTTGACAGAGAATGTGTTTGCCATGGCGGCGGTCGATTGGTCTCGTTGCCACAAGGCTCTTACAGGCTAGACTCGAACCAATGGTATAGGTCACGAGAGAGAGAGCTACGTCAACACAAGCGGACCTACAAGAGCTACAGAAATCGGGGCATCGCGAGCACCACCATTAACTTATATACCACGCACGGGACATCCAGGCTACTGGCGGACAGGTAGCTCTCACTTCTCATTATGACTATACACACCAATCACGGGCCCTTAAAGTCCGCGTGTTATAGAAGGCAAGTGACAACAGACGATCCGCTTGGCAGCTCCGTGGACTCTACTGACCGCAGGGATATGCAGCCATACCTGACAGCTCATGATGTCCTGATAGCTACCAGAAGGGTCCAAGAGCATTAGAAAAGGGCACATATTGCAACATATCAAGGTTGTGGGATGCTCCCTTGGGCAGCTGTGCTGGATTGTTCGGGCCTATGCTTGTCAAATATGAGCGTTAGAGTGGTCGATCGACATGTCGCGTAGACAAAGTATGGTTTGATACGACAGCGCCAGCGATAAGTCAGTGGAGGGCGGGGAAAATGCCACCCTTTCGAGATTCTGTGTTGTAGTCTTGTGGTACGAAGGATCGATTCGGTGTCGAACCGGATTAGCGGCCGAAACCGCCTCGCTTCGGGCGGGAGTTGGTAGGTGGGAACCTGGGACTTGGAGTTAAGCGACGGCATTCGCAAGTCCCCGGGGAACAATGACAGTTCTGAGTCGGGCTTTCTGCGAGGGCGTCGACTCCGGTTGAGAGGAGCGGTGGATATGGCAAGATTAAGCCGTGAAGAAGACCCGCGCTCGAGGCCCAAAGGGTCGACAAGACGGCGATGATGACCGTAAATGTCGACATGGCCGATCAAAGGTGACATGCGAAATGGATGTGAAGATCTCCCTTGTTACGTGCAGGGTGGGCGCTTGGTGGAAATGCCTGGCGAGCGAGCTGTGAGCGGTCAGCAAACTGTAAAAAACAAAATACTGCTCATCCGGGTTCGGCTCCGACGCGGGGAGAGCTGTTAGATTGTGGCCAGGCGTTGCATTGCGCGCGTGGTTCACTGGCAGGCCACAGATGTCTATTTCCTTGAATAAGTGCATATGCAATAGGCAAATGGGTGTGTGGCATCGGAGTGGTGGTACAAGACCGACCTCGTGATACCCCAAGAGGTCTCTGCTTGGGTCTGCCACGTCCACCAGATCGAGTCTAGGGCAGTGTTGAGATTAGGAAACTCGCAAGCGAAAAGCACCAGGCGGTCGGAAATCCCAAACTCGGTCCAGCGGCGAAGATCGAGGAGCAGGGGTCAGGGATGCTGGAGCGCAGATTTCGGCTCTTGTTCTGCACGGAAAACGGGAATCGATCAAAAGGCAAGGTCTGTGGAAGCGGCACGGCAATCTTGGGAAGAAGAAGGTCAAATGTCGGTTCGAGAGATGGCGCAGTGATAGCTGAATGAGATGTGTGGTAGTGTCCGATATGTCGTAGCTGATGGCTGCAACATCGCCGGGTTGGTCAACTGGTCGTGAGGGGGAGGCATCGAGGTTGTATTGGCCCAAGAGACCAAGAGACCAAGTACGTGGTGGAGGGCGACGAAGAGGTCTCGTGGGCGCGGACTCCGGATGACAGCCTTTCTTTCTAGAATGTCTCAACCCCGCGTTGCTAGGTCGACATCTGATCATCAGGTACGGGTGGCCCGGTGGGAAGAAGGGACGAATCGACGATGAGTGGAGGAGAGGAGGGAGGATGGAAGAATCGAGGATGGAGGTTGACCGTTGACCGTTGGAGGTGTGGGTGGGTGGATGAAGGAGGAAGAGTCTACGGAGCAGAGAAGCTGGCAAGGACGGCATGAAGCTGCCGCACACCTAGAGACAATAAGGAAGCTGCGAGATTCAGCTCCCAAGACGCGGCAGGAAGCAGCATGACATAACGCTGCCGCCGACCCCAACTCTCCAAGCATTTCATCCCACCTTCATCATCCTCTACTGCAATCTAGTGGCTTTGGTGTTGCATCTGCCATCCATCTCAGCTGCATCTTCCCGTCTTTAATCACCATCCACATGCTTTTTTCTTTGCAAATACTTTGCCAATAGTCTGTCTATAGTGTCCTTAATGCCGACAACTTCAAAGTTGGAACTTGTTCTGCCTGTCCGACCTCCATACTCGATTGGGAGAAACGGACCGTGGTACGGGAGTATTCGTCCGCGCGATGCCTCGAGAGCGGCTCTCCAGCATCGAGGGCCGCGTATCACGACGCGAGAACCCCGAACCGATTTTTCGCATCTTGGCTCTTTGACTTACGACTCTTCAAGACTAATCGGAAAAATCAAACTCGCACAAGACCATATTGACAGCATTTTGTTGAGCTCTTGCGGGCCTCGTCCAGGGACTCGCCCGGGGGCCGGCGGGATTCTTCCAACAATCGGCCGACCGCAATTGACCACCAGTTCGTTCGGACAAGGACCATTCGGCCAGCTTCATTAACAACTTCTTCCGATGCGGACGCTGTTGTTTCGACAGAGCCCAACAGAAGTGGGAATTGCCCAGCTTCACCCCGGCTCGTCGCCGTCCAGGAACCATCCACTCAGTCGCCGTCGTTCAATGAGCGGCAAGCCCACTATGGGGATGCTTGGCTCACGTGGCGCCAAATGACACCCCAGGATCTCAGAAGTATTGAGCAGAAACTCTCATTGCTTGTCTCCCGCCCTTCAGTCGTTACGCTACACCAGTGACCACCGACACCACTCAAGGATCGAGATGTCTCTGTCTCTATGTCTGACCGCACGGGCGCTTCCTTACCACCTTGACGGTCCATCAACCTCATCACACCCACGTGGATTCTGTTCCTCATGGTTGGACGAATTCAAGACCTATCTCTCTCCCCTCTATCACTCGAGGCTTGCTAGTAATCACTCTGAACCGCTGACTGGTACCATGACTTGGCTATATTGGCCAGGACCAGGTCTTGTCCGCTGGTTCGCCTGACGAGGCCACCCAATGGCCAAAGCTGTCTATCCCGCACTGCCGCCCCCCCCCCCCCCCTGGTAGGACCTCTTGAGCTTGGCCCCCTGCTAATGGAGTATGGAACCGCCTTCTCCAAGCACGCATCTCTTCCATTCGCAACTGGCGCTTCTAGTGCCGATTTCCACCGCTCTGTGCCTGGCGAGATTGCTCTAAGAGGCGGAGCGACTGCCAGAAACCGCGAAATGTTGCGGTCTTGCGTATTGTTTGCTCTAGCGTGAGAAGCCTCACCCTGGCTCGCATATCCCCAATATCGAGTTGGTTTGCTTGCCGGCCCCCAACCTCGCCCGAGCAATGAATGCTTGACTTGGAGTCTTGGAGACGTGGTGGACACTCACCGCAACCCTTACAACGGACCGTTGTCTGGGGGTGTACGACTCGATGTTGATCCACTGGCCTCGTTACCCCGGTGCTCCGTTCGTTGCTCTCTTCGTTATGTATAAGACGTTGCGGCAGCTGGAGGGCGGTAGCTTGCCTTGTCTCTCTGTTCCTTGTGCCCTACGAGCAAGTCCTCGAGTTCCGTCCCTGTTCCTGTTGTCTTGAGTTGCTTCGTCTACCGTCATCATGTTGGCCAAGTTCTCTCTTCTCCCTTTGCTGTCTGCCGCAGTCTCGGCATCTCCCATCCTCGATGCCAGGGCCCCGGTGGCTGCTCTCGACGAGAGAGCCGTGACGGTGTCGAGCGCCGACCTGTCCAACTTTGAGTACTACGTTCAGGTAGGACATGCCCAGACTTCTTGACTTGAGCGCGTGTGCTAACATGTAACATAGATGGTGGCAGCAACCTCTTGCAACAGCGAGGCCGCCGCTGGTGCATCAATCACCTGCAGCGCCGATGCTTGTCCCGATGTCACCGCCAACGGAGGAAAGATTGTGGGAACCTTTTCGTAAGTCGATCAAACAACCTTGACTTCTCACCTAGCTAACACGCTCCCAGCGGACTCGTCTTTGGCCTCCAGGGCTTCGTCGCCACGGATCCCGTGAGAAAGAACATTGTCGTTGCCATCCGCGGCTCCAGCAACATCCGCAACTGGATCACCAACATCCTCTTCGGCTTCGACGACTGCGACTTTGTCGACGGCTGCAAGGTCCACACCGGCTTCGCCAACGGCTGGGACGAAGTCAAGGACTCCCTCCTGGCTTCCGTCAAGTCCGCAAAGGCCGCCAACCCCAGCTACACCATCATCGGCACCGGCCACTCCCTCGGCGGCGCCGTAGTCACCATCGCCGCCGCCGACCTCCGCCGCGACGGCTACCCCGTCGACATCTACACCTACGGCAGCCCCCGCGTCGGCAACGCCGCCTTCACCAACTTCGTCACCGCCCAGACGGGAGCCGAGTACCGCGTCACCCACGTCGACGACCCCATCCCCCGCCTGCCCCCCATCCTCCTCGGCTACCGCCACACCAGCCCCGAGTACTGGCTCTCCACCGGCGACGCCACCACCGTCGACTACGGCATCACCGACATCAAGGTCTGCGAGGGCGCCGCCAACACCAAGTGCAACGGCGGCACGTCCAGCCTCGACGTGGACGCCCACAAGTACTACCTCCGCCGGACCGGCGCCTGCAGCACGGACGGCTTCGGTATCAAGGAGAGAGAGGACGTCTCGGACGAGGGCCTCTCTGCGCGCCTGACGGCCTGGGCGCAGCAGGATATCGAGTACGCCGCGTCGCTTGAGGAGTAAAGAAGGCACGACGCCGGTATGTTGTATACCACATACACGAAAGGAATTCAAATGGCATGACCATGTTATGAAGGGTAGGGAAGCGGGCTTCTGGAGTTTTTGGGGGAAGCATCATCATCATCATCATCAAAAGGATACCATCAAGGGATGTCCCGAGCCATTGCGGCTGAGGAGATATCGTCAAAAATATTCACGTACACAATAGTATAGTACATAATCCACGCCCAGCGTCTGCCTGGCGTTGAGACCGCAACAGTTCTTTTCCTCTGAACATCTGAATAGCTGTGAATCCAGTGACCCACGATGCACGCAACCCGGACTGGGTACCGAGTCCGAACACACGAAAGGGAGGACCCCTTGTCGTCGACTGACTCGCAAGTCTGTCAACCAAAGACGCGCGGTACCCGATCGAGCAAAGTCGTAATCCAAATCGAGTGTCCTTTTAATGGCAACCGCGTGTTTCGTTGTTTCAACTCCCATCGTACTCCGTACTAAGAATGGCACGGCGCGTTGCAACGGTTGTGTTACGTATATATTGGCACTTGGCATCGACGGGCGAAAAGTGGTAGTGCACTATGTATGGTCCAGGATAGAGTTTCCCAGAACGAACCATTTCATTCACCTGAAGCTGTGGGGATCGTGACCATTGGGGAGTCTGGGACCCTGGGACGTCTATCTGGAATCCTGGATATTGGATATCCTGGTAAATAACGTACCTACATAACCCGACACCCACGTGCGGAGTTTGCGTATCATGGTCCCATGGATGCTGACATTGCTGGCCAGCTAGTCCACTGACCGGCTAATCTATTCCACGGCTCCTCGCCGTACACTAGTCATTCATGTTGCATCTCAAGAAGTACTGATACCTGATATCTGAACCTACTGTCCAGATTGAATTTCCTTGAGCAACAAAGAGCCACCCAGCTGAACGCTGAGGGAGTCTCTACCTAGAGTAATGGGTCATCCCCATACACGCAAAAGGTGTTCCATCCGTGAACGCGGTACCATCATGCCATCCATTTGCAAATCGAAAAGGGGGTATAGGAGGAAGAGAGAACGACGCACGCCCGACTCCAATGATGGGGGCTGGGAACCAGAGTCCCAAATGTCCTTATCCTTTCCGTGTGTCCTGCCTTGTCCGCAACGCCACCCTGGGGAAAACCATAGAAATCCACTTTTTTGCGGTAAAACACAATGAAGAAAAAAGAGTTCGTCGACAAGCAAAGTGTCTAAGATCCGCGAAACAGGAACTGCATGTCCTCGGGGCTCAGAGACTCCATGGCTTTGTCGTCGGCGTTGACAGTGGAGTTGATCATGTTGGTCTTCTTCTCCTGAATCAGCACCATGCGGCTCTCGACCGAGTCCTCGATGCAGAGACGGGTGATGGTGCAAGGGCGGGTTTGACCAATGCGGTGGCAACGATCGGCGGACTGCCACTCGGCGGCAGGGTTCCACCAACTACATACATGTATTGGTTAGCCAAGACTTTGATGGTAAAAGTAGTGAGACATGGTGACTTACGGGTCAACGATGAAGACGCGAGACGCCTCGGTGAGGTTGAGAGCGACACCACCGGCCTTGAGAGAGACGAGGAAGCACTCGCATTCAGTCTTGGTCATGAAGTGGTCGATGGACGCCTGGCGCTGCGCGGGGCTCATGCTGCCGTCGAGCATGACTGTGGTGATACCGGCGCGACGAAGACGCCACTCGATGAGCTGCAGCATGGACGAGAACTGCGAAAAGATGATGGACTTGTGCGAAGCATTGTCGGATCGAAGCTTGTGAAGTGCGTGGACGAGAAGCTCAATCTTGGAGGAAGAAGTCCAATCTTCCATCTTGATTCGATTGATAATCGAAGACTTCTTGACGTCAGCCTCATTCTGCTCAATCTCGGGCTGCTCCAAGTCGATGGCCAGGCCAATGTGGCAGCGGGGGCAGCCGGGTTCCTCGGCAGACAACAGGTAGCTTCTAGCACAGGCGCGGCAAAAGTCATGCTTGCAGCGGCTCCTGATGGCATCCTCGGCCGGCTCATCACAAATGCTACACATGAGTGTGTTCTGACCGCCCTCTCCGTGCTTGCGAAGGATCAAATCGGGGTGGTCGGCCACCTGACGCATCTGCATAATGAGACCAAAGATGTTGGCGTAGTTGTTGAGCAAGACACCCTGGGCGACGTACGTCTCGAACTTGCGCTGGCCGTTGGTCATGATGCTGTTGGCGAAATCATTCTCCGCCTCACCAAAGAACTGGCGATCAACATAGATCTCCTTGACGGGGAGCTCCATGGAGTTGGTGTGGTCCTTCTTCAGACGACGAAGCATGATGCGATCAGTCATCAGACGGAGCTTGCGGAAAGCCTCGCGGCCCTCTCCAAAGTTGCCAAACTTCTGAATGGGGTTAAGGAGCTCCTGGTTGAAGACGGAAACGTGCTGCATGCCGGCGTGTCCACACGAGTGGCAACGGTGGTCGTCGTCGAGGTTCCAATCCAGGCCGGCACAGGGGCACTGCTTGCACAAGTACGACGCGAAAGGCGCGACTTGAAGGAAGCGGATCAGGGAGAAGAACTCGCCAATGCGGTTCTGAAGCGGAGTACCGGTAAGGCACCAACGGTACGAGGTCTTCAGGGCAAAGCAAGCCTTCGCCGTCATGGTAGTACGGGTCTTGATGCTATGGGCCTCGTCGAGGATGATGCGGTGGAAGTCGACCTGGTGGATCAAGCTCTTCTCTTTGTGTACACCGTCTGGGCGGGTGAAACCCTTCTCTTGCTTGCGGTACATGGACTCCAGACTGTTGTAGGACATCATGATGACATCAAACTTCTTGAGCTCCTTCAGGGTCATCTTCTTCGCGTTCTTCATAGTACCGTGGTAGACAAAGACCTTGAGGGTGCCGTCGGTGTAGGACTCGATCTCGCTCTTCCACTGCATCAAAGCAACGGGAGGAACCAAGACGAGGGATGGCTTCTTCTGGGGGTAGTCGGACATGACCAGGGACACGGCCTGGATGGTCTTGCCGAGACCCATCTCATCACCCAAAAGTCCGCCTTTGTAGTCGGTCTTCTCCATCTCAATCATCCAAGCGACACCCGCGAGCTGGAAGGGCTTGAGCTGACGCGAGATCTGCGGCGGCTGAGCGATCTTGTCAGGTCTGAGCGCCGGCGAAGCCTCCAAGTCCTGCCACATGGTGAGAAGCTCAGGATGGTTGTTCTCCAACCTGGCGCGTTCAAGCATGCCGCGGCGCTTGTTGCCACGCTGGTAGGCGCGGCGACCACGAGACTGGGCCGCCACGGCGTTCTGGAGGCCGCCGTCACTATCGGCCGCGTCGTCAGAGGAATCCGAGTCGTCAAAGTCGCCGCTAGAGAGGCTCGACAAAGCATCGTCATCGTCGTCATGGAGTTGGCGGGGCATCGCGGGGGCTGCAGGGACTGCAGGCAGGGCCGAACCGGAAGCTCTAGTCCGTCTTGCTGGCTGCTTACCCTTGCCCTTTGCCTTCGCCTTCTTGGCGATCTTGTTGCTATCATCATCCTCAAGTTCGGAGAAGTTGTCCGAGAGGTCGCTAAGCTCATCCGCCCCCGTCGAGTCTGAGGATTCATCCGAATCATCCGAATCAGCGACCACAACCTTCTGCTTCTTCGCAGGTCGTTGCAGAGGAGCGGCGTTCTTGGGGGGTCTACCCCGGCTCCGGCCACTGGGCTTGGATCGAGAAACAAGCGGAACGTCCTCTGAGTCGTCGTCACTATCCTTGACTGTGGCCTTAGCAGCAGCTGCGGTCGCACGACGGCCACGACCAGTGGCAAGGGGGACATCAGAGTCCTCCATCTCGTATTCCTCTTCCTGGAGACGTCGAGCAAGGGCGGCATCGGACAGGCTGGAAGAGGCAGTGGATTTCTTGTTCTCTTCCTTCTGGAGGCGGCGAGCAACCATGGCATCGCGATCGTTGTCAGGGGGCTCCTCATCCTCTTCGTCGTCATCATCATCGTAGTAGCCACCTCCGACCTTGCGCTTGGCCGGCTGCATAGAAAACTCGCTGTGACGCAGAGCACGCTCCTTGAGTTCAGCTGCAGTGGGAAGCCGGACCTCAATTTTGGATGCAGACTGGGATCCAAGCTGGGGGTTTCTCAAAGCTGCAGGCAATACAGGAGGGCGATAGCGGGAGACAGAGGGGGCAGGTGTAGCGACATTGCTAGTAGCAGGAGTGGAGGCCTCACTGGCAGAAGTGAGGTCGGCAGATGCAGCAGCAGATGCAGACGCAGTTGAGGAAGCCGAGTCGTTGGCCAGTGAGGCTCTGCTAGGTCGACCTCGACCTCTCTTGGCAGTCGAAGGGGCGGAAGTCGCAGGCTGAGGTGCAGCTGCAAGGTTCCGGCTCGACGCAGATCTAGTGAGACGACCAGGACCAGGACCAGCAACAGCAAGAGGGTCAGGTGAGTCTATCAGGTGTGTTAGTTATCGATCTATTTTATTTGCACACACAGTCCTCCATAAGTTGATGGCGACGAGATGTGCAGGCTGGAAAATAAAATTAAAACCAATGACTTACTGCTTCGAGTGGAGGCCAGGCTCTCTCTCTGGGCGCGAGAAGGGCGACCACGGCGGCCAGTCATCTTGACGGCGATGATAACCTTGTGGTGCAGTGAGGTGAATTTTGTGTACTTGCGACCTCAAGATTGAGAGGGAAAAATGAGGTTTGCCGGTATTTTCACACAGAGGTGAAGGTTTGGCGTCGGTTGAAGTGAGAAGAAAGTTGGGATGGACGGGACAAAGCTCGGCAAGTGGTGGCGAACAGTCTCAGCTTATCGCCGAAGAAGCTTGGAGACTGTGCACCAAGGGGGTGGATGATTGGGGTATCTGGGTACCTCTGGTGAGGGAGGGGAAAAGGGACGAATTGTAGACTGGGGTACGGAGTAGAGAGGCCACAGTCTGCCGGTTGGTGATGGGGAAAAGGGAAAGAAAAAAAAAAGAGGCAAGTGGTGGTGAAGAGGGCCAAAGGGGAAAAAAGAATTGGACTTGCCACTGGCGACTCCTTTTCGGTCAGGCAAGCTGAGAAGGACCGCCTCACCTCAGACAAGAGGGACAGGACGGGAAGGAGGGGACCTGGGGGGATCAAGGACGCGCCCTTCAATGGCGGGCTCTGCACACGAAGTCACGTGGCTTCTTTGTCAGGGATGGGAAGGCGCCCAGACGCAGGGGCGACTGCCTAAAGCCGACCTGGAATTGACAACCTAAGTTTTTTGTTATCTTGGCTGGGATCTAGGCGATGGTGTGAACATGGACGTTCTGTCGCTGAGTTGATGCTTACAAGGCACATTTACGTTCCGTGATGGGGATTCAAGCTAGCTTGTCAAGGTCCCTGGCGAAGCGAATGCTCCCCTCAACGAAAGATGAAAAATGGCAATGTCCTATGGATTACTTGGCAGACAAAACCATCCTCAGAAGGAGTTTCACCAGCCAGGGGGAACACATATTAAGACTGAAAGGGCAGCATTGGATGCAGAGGCAGATGGCCGATCTCCATGTCCCTGGGGCTCCAGTGTGACGATTCGACTTGGGCGATCGATCTGTTCCCTGACGACTCCGGTGCAGTGGCTCTGTGGCTCCTTCCCTCGAGTTTAGGTGACACCCACGGCACCTAGTGAGGTAGGCAGGTAACCCACGGCTGTTGTGGATCCGCCTCAATTAAACCCCTGCTGCCTGTCTGCCAATACTCTCCTAATAAGGTACCTTTTAGCCTCTTGAACTGTCGCTTGCATCTTTCATACGGTGCATCCTCACCAACACCCTTGATTCCACCCACTGATCTCGAGAGATTGGCGATCACCTGTACAGTGTGCCACAAACTTCACCCTCCAACACTTGGTCTGGGCGTATCGATCCAGGAACCAGACGACTCCAGAAGACGCTGCTTCTTTGTCACCCCTTTCAATTTGCCCCTGACCTGGCGCATCACGGCATTGTTGACAATTGTGATTTTTCGCATCTTGGGATTCGTTCTTCTCTCCAACAAAAGGTCCGGACGTTGGCCTATTTTCAAATCATCAACCCTCTGGTGTTCGCTGTCGCCCCTCCCCCCTTGGCTAGTCTGTAATTCAGACATATTTGCCACACCTACTCGGAAGGGATTTCTCACGACTTCACCACCACCCCAGGATCGAATTTCATCACAACCGCAGCTCTAAAAAAAAAGTTTCGATCCAACTCACCAAGCTCGAGTCATCCAACACTGCATAAGGAGAACAAAAATCCACCGCCAAAATGGCGAGACCGTCTCGTCGATCCCAAGCTCAGGCTCAGGCCCAGGCTCAAGCTCAAGCTCAAGCTCAGGCTCAGGCTCAGGCTCAGGCTCAGCAGAACCAAATTTCTCAGCAGGGTCAAGCTGCTCCTCAGAATCAGGCTCAAGGCAATAACCGTGCCGGCCGCCACATCTCTGGACCGTGAGTCTTTCCACCCGTAATGCACACCTCACTACTGACACAAATCTAGACAATCGGCTTTGACCGACTACCTTGCTGTAAGAATGTCGAATAGACTGGCCACCTGTGCAAACTGACAATGTGCTTTCATAGGCCCACAACATCTCGGCAAACCAGATTCGCCGGGATGCAGACCAGCGCCGTGCTGCTGCTGCTGCCGCCCAGAACCAAGCAGACAATGCCAACGGAGATGACGATGAGGAGGCCGAGGCCGGCCCCTCCGCAGAGCCTGGTCAGTCCAGCCGCAATGAGACTGTGGCCGAGAAGGCGAAACGTCAGAAGAAGGAGCAGATGGCCATCGCCAAGATCAAGGCCTCCAAAGCCTTCAAGAAGCGGAAGCAACGGGGTATAGAATCAGAGGATGAGGACGACATAGCACGCGCCCTACTCGATCAGATGGCCCAACCCTTGCCAGGCCAGATGGATAACTGCGCCATTTGCAAGAAGCGCTTCACCGTCACCGCGTACTCACTGAGTGGTCCCGAGGGCGGTCTGCTCTGCGCGCAATGCAGCAAGGATGAGGCTGCCAAGAAGGGCAAGGGCAAGCAGAAGCCTCGCAAGCCCGTCGGTGGCCAGGGCAAGCGCCGCAAGGTACAGAGCAACATCCTCGACGGCACGTACCAGACTGGCGCCAAGAACTTGACCACTCTCTGCATCGAGACTCTGGCCAGGAATGTAGACCTCGCCGACAGCTTAGGTGATTTGCCGGAAAGGGTGGTGGACAAGATTGCGCGACTCTTCTCCAAGCGTCGATTGCTGAACCCCGTGACGCTGCCTCTGTTCGTGCAGCCGTCGACCACGGTCCTTCACATCTACGACGGTGCCAAGCTGGGCTCCAACGAGTTCGAGAGCATCTTCCAGACAGCACCCAACCTCAAGAGATTCAAGGCTCGCAACTCTATCCAGTTCAAGGACGAGGTCATGGACTATCTTCTGAGTCGCGATATCAAGCTTACGCACTTCAACCTTCACGGCGCGAACCTCCTCAGCGACGAGAGCTGGACCAAGTTCGTCCAGCAGAAGGGTGCCTATCTTGAAGGTATCCAGGTCTACTACACAGACAAGCACGTTGGCGACGAGCTGCTCGCCATCCTTCCGGAGACTTGTCCCAATCTGAATCGCCTCAAGGTCTATCACAACCAAAAGGTCACCAACGTCGGCGTCAAGTCGATCGCGGACATCAAGTCCCTCAAGCACCTTGGCCTCCACCTGCAGCACGACATCACCTCCAAGAGCCTGGTCCACATGATCCTCGGTGTTGGAAAGGACCTGGAGACGCTCTCCCTGAAAAAGATGCCCACGGCCAACGACGAGGTGCTGACTGCGATCAGGGACACGTGCCGTTCCCTCAAGAAGTTCCGCATCACCGACAGCGAGCACATGACGGACGAGGGCTTTGCAGACCTCTTCAACAAGTGGGAAAACCCCGGTATCGAGATCATTGACCTCCAAAAGTGCCGCTACCGCGACTCGACCAAGCCCCGCGAGAATGAGGATGGCATTGGCCTCTGCTCCGACGGGTTCCGTGCCCTCATGAAACACTCCGGCAAGAAGCTCAAGAATCTCAACATCCACGCTTGTCGTCACATCAAGCGAGAGGCGTTTGAGGACGCCTTCTGTGACGAAGACCAGTACCGCAACCTCGTCAGGCTCGAGATCAGCTTCATCGAGGAGGTGGATGATTTCGTTTTGGGGCGCATCTTCCGAAGCTGCCCCAACATTCGCGAGATCAACGTCTTTGGTTGCATGCAGGTCAAGGATGTTCGGGTCCCCAGAGGCAAGGTCGTGGTTGGTATTCCGAACGCAATGGGAATGGTCGTTGAAGGCCGCGACGATTAAGGACGAGATGCTCTCAACTACAGGCTTGTTAAGGACGTTAGGAGTACGGAGGGTTTGGTACACGGTGTTTCACTGAGATGTAAGCGTGGTGGTCTTTGGTCACTGGCCAGACCATCCTATTCGTTTCTTCCAGTCAGGTTGAGGACCGGCGTTATGGTGGAACCTCGGATATAGGGCTGGTAGCCGGGTCTGCTCATTCAAAAGGACGGGGTTGCCAGCATTTGGTTGACGTTAAGGTAGATAGTTGACAAATACCATAATATCACAGTCCGTTGAGGGGGTTTGATATGACGCCGAGAAGTGAGGTTTCTCGGAAGCAAATCGATATGCAGGTCGGCGCGGACCAAGCAAACGGCCCACTGTCTTCTGCGGAACACGGGCGGGAACTGGGGCCACTGACGGGGACTAAAACACCGCCACAGCCTACGGCAGGGCGGAGTGGGGCCAGCCCGGCTCAGCCTCAGCTCCCTGCGTAAGACGGCGGCGGGAGGGGACGCTCACAGCTGCAGGTGCGCCAGCAGGTTGCGGCTTGCCTTGCATTCCACGAATCCACAGGGCGGTTTACCCACCCGGGTCCCCTGCTCGTGCCTCTAACCCCCCCCCTGACTATCCGTATCACAAACCAGGCTTGTTGAGCTGAGCCAACGCAGCAATTGCCAGTACCATTTCGCGGGCCCTTTTTTTCTCGTGGCCATCGATCGACCAGCAATTCTTCCGTCCCTGACCGCCATGATCCTTTCCCCTTCTTAGCTGCTTCTCTCTCTCTCTCTCTCTCTCTCTCTCTCTCTCTCTTTTCCCTTTCGAGTGAATGGATGGATCTTGCTCGTCCACAACCGTCCTCCGAAATCATGTCTCGTCGCTGGGCGCGAAAGCTTGAACGCTGCTGTTGCACTTTCGCGACCTACATCCCTCTGCTCTTCGTCTATGGCTTGACCACCTGGGCCGTCTGGGTGGATGTCACCATCGGGTCCCTGCCTTCCAAAGCTTCGTGGCTCGGTAAGTTAGCTGTTCTGGTCCGCCGATGATGATGATGCCCGCCCGCCCGCCCGCCCGCCGCTTTCTAACGATGCATCTGTAGCAGGCTCCGCGTCTTCCGCAGGCGCCATCCTCCTCTACGGCCTGCTCAACTGGTCCTACACCACCGCCGTCTTCACGAGTCCCGGGAGCACGACCAACGATAATGGCTACAGTACGCTACCGACCGAGGCACCCCCCGCCGCCACCTCCTTCACCGTCAAGTCCAACGGCGAGCTCCGATTCTGCAAAAAGTGCCAGGCGAGGAAACCGGACCGCGCCCATCACTGCTCGACCTGTCGCCGCTGCGTCTTGAAAATGGATCACCACTGCCCTTGGCTCGCGACCTGCATCGGCCTGAAGAACCACAAGGCGTTCCTGCTATTCCTCATCTACACGACGCTCTTCTGCTTCTACAGCTTCTTTGTCTCCGGCAGCTGGGTGTACATGGAGGTCATCAACAACACGACGTACGTGGAGACGCTGATGCCCATCAACTACGTTATCCTCAGCGTCATCGCCGGCATCATCGGCATCGTGGTCGGCGCCTTCACGGGATGGCACATTTTGCTCGCGAGCAGGGGCCAGACGACAATCGAGTGCCTGGAGAAGACGCGGTACCTCTCGCCGCTGAAGAAGCAAATGAAGCACCAATTCGTCGCCCAGCACAACGGCGAGGGTATCCCCTTACCCGCCTACGGCCAACAGCTCCTCGACATCCACGCAAACGCACTCCCGGGCATCACGCGACCCGAAGAAGGCGAAGAATACCGCGGCGGTCATCACCATCAGGGCGGAGGCTCCTCGAGACCCGGCACGCACCAGTCGTACGAAGAGATGGAGCGCGAGCGCGCGAAAAAGCGCTACGAAGAGTACCTCGACGAGCAGGACTCTGAGAAGCTCCCCAACGCATTCGATCTCGGCGCGAAACGGAACCTCCTGCACCTCTTCGGCCCGAAACCCCTGTTCTGGTTCGTCCCCGTCTGCAACACCACCGGCGACGGCTGGGCCTGGGAAGCCAGTCCCACCTGGCTGGCCGCCCGCGAGCGTCTCGCCAGGGAACGTCAGGAACAGCGCGCGCGCGAGATCAACGCCGGCTGGGGCACCGACGAACCCCTGACTTTTGTGCGCGAGGCCCCGCCGCAACCGCCGACGAAGCCCGACGGCGCGGGCCGACACTACCTCACCTCGCCCCCTCCCCCCCCTCCGCCAACGGTTCGCGTAAGACGCCTTCCAAGGCCGACCGGGTCCTGGGCCGCGATCCGAACTTGTACGCCGACGGGTTCCAGGAGTCGATGCCCATGCGGAAGCTCAGCCCGCGCGGGCGGGCGCTCGAGGACGAGCTGGACGACTGCGACCTCGACATGGAGGATCCGGCGGCGGCGGAGCACCGCGCGCTGAATCTCGTTACCAATGGTGGGTGGGGACGCAGCGGTGCTAGCGGGTTGTTGAGGAAGCATAGCCCGTCGTCGCCGTCGTTTAGGGACCAGCCTGAGAACGATGATGATGTGGATTGAGATGGTGGAGGAGCACAAGATGCAAAGAGAGAGTGAGAGGAACACCTTTTCAAAATAGGGGCAAGAGAGAAAGAGAGAGCGTTTTAGAAAGTGATATCCAGAAAGCGTAATCTTCTGTCAGCAGGGACTCTGGAGGTCACTAGGGTTTTTTAGAAAGTGTACAACGCATTTCATGTACGGCTTTTTTTGTTTCTATTTCACAAGTCTACGGTTGAAAGGGGGGTTAAAACTCGGAACTCCTCCAAGGGATGGGGAAGTTCTTGAGATGTATCATTGACGCCTTTTCTTCTTCTTTTTCCCTTCCTTCTTCAAGTCCTTTTCTCAACCAAGTCCAAGATGGTGTTTTGGGTGTTTCTGGGTTTCCTGATGGGGGATTGGGAGGTTTCTCTCTTCCCCTCTCTGCTAGGAACGGATAATGATGTTTGGTAGCACTTGTGCGGAATTGAAATCTCTTCATCCATCATCGGAGTGCGACTGGGTTCTCTTCCGTCCTATGGTGTGAAAACTAATATATTGGTATATTGGAACCCTAATCTCTGTCTCAAGCGCGTCACACGACAGCCATGTTATTGGGCTGTTTTGCGGTGCAGGCTTGGACAACATCTACTGAGAAAGGCACCGGTGACAAAGCTACTCAGTTCGAACCTTATGGGAGAGTTTCCAGGCTGATGCAAAGGATTTGGCTCGGTATTTGTCAAAGGTCTCTCAACCGGCTTTAAGGAGTTCAACTGAGCTACACATGAGAGTATCCCACGCTAGGCTAGGGGAAATCCCACCATGCATTTCAAAAACGACTTGGTAGTTTATAGCACGGTTGTTCCGCACGTGAAGGAAGGTTTCTAGAGGCGTTTGTAGTATTCGTCTGCTGCTGTTGAGTCTAGTAGATATGCCGAGTCACATACCATAGCCCAGTGGCTTTATGATTTTGTCGACGGCGATATCCCGAGTTTACACGCAAGCGTAACGAAACCCACTGGTTCTAACCAAGGCAGACTGATGGCGTTGTTCGCGCGGATGAGGCGGTGATGATCGTCGAGGGTATAATGCGGACAGGTTCCCTTTGGCGGATTCGCCGGGTGTTCTGGAGACTCTGGGCCTTTCTCGCGCTTCAGGTCTCTCTATTCAGTGATTGTAGAAGCTGTTGGTCGATTGTGACATCATTCTTGAGTTCCCTTCAGGGACGTGTGATTTCTGTGGTACAGCCCGAGTTGTACGCCTGTTTGTTACTGCCAGATCTATTCTTGCCTCCATTCAAGAGTAGTCGTTTGCGGATCGCGACGGCTGGTGTTTACGCGAGAAACTACCTCAATATCGATACGGGTCGATACCAGAATGGGCATTTGCTCAAGGGGTGAAGAGAGGTGAAGTCTCTGACCATGGATTACTGGGGATTTTTCACGGATTCGGCGTCGAACAATGACGAGCCATAGAAGACGACAGGACCCTTCGCGAGGAGTTCCCCCATTAAATGATCGTCAGAGCCGTCACCGGCATCTACACTACAATACTCGACGTCCGGCATGTCGAGTATCTGGGCTTTCCTAAAAAGTTTATTAGCGACGACATTGATCTCCCCGTGCCACGGGAACGTGATGGCAGTACGTGCTTTTCGCGGTAGACCTACTTTGTGCACCACTATGCGATCCGACAATGACTGCTGGACTCTGGCGAGACTAAAAGTGACGGGGCTTCCTTTTGTCTACTGAGCTTCCAGGAGTAGAGACTACGGAAAAGACATCACTTCTAGGGGCTTTGGGGCTTTGACAACATCTTAGGAGCTTTGACAACACGCTTCATGGATCTGTCGATTTTACCTCCTCGAGCCGGACAGAGAGTCGTCAGCTTTAGTTACTTTCGGCATTGCTACCAGGGCCTTCACCGCTCTACATTCACCTCGCAAATATCCTCTCGCTTGTTTGTCACAGTGATATCCAAGCCTGCCATGAGAGGCTTGCTCAAAAGAGATTCTTCTCCGCAGACAGGGAGGGGCGATTACCAAAAAGACACATCTCTGTCCTGGGTTACTACCCTCGTCCAACCTACGAGTTTCTCATGTCTGGGTATCATGGTCGAATCTCATGAGCCCCATCAGAATCAGGGCATCCTTTAACTTGCTATTGAAGAACAGCCTTGAGAATTTCGTATTTCTTCCCTCCTGTCCGCAAACTGCTGTAGACTGGTTGCTGATGACCATGGTCTCCGAGCGGACGCCAGGCCATCTACGGACTTCATATAAAGAGCACAGTCTGACCACCAAACTTACGCTCTTCACCAGCCATCGACCAAGCCGGGGAATTTAGCGAAGTTTGTGGCGTGCTGGAGCCGAACACACATCCTGGGATTGTCTTGCTTTCGCTGGAGTGCCCCGACATCAGTGCGCAGCACGCCAATCTGGTCTTCCTTACGCCGGGCGTATTCTTGGAACTTCGCCTTCTGGAGTTCGATGCACTCTACGGTACTTCTCGTGCGAGTTGGATGCCTCACGACAGACGTCGGCGTCGAGGGCCTTGATCTAGAACTTCGCAGATTAGCCACATAGCCAGGAGCGTATAACCGGCGTGGGCTAGTAATCGAGATCAGCCTTACTTGCTCCCTCGACCGTCCACGATCTCTCGTAGTCTGTCAGGTATTCTTAGGAGTATACGTATTGACGGGAGGGCATGCAGTGGGAAAGAACTTTCTCTGCGTCCCAATCAGTGACACCCACGGTCCTTATCCTCTCGCCTGAGCACCTCGGCGGCGCCGCTTGGAAGGCGTACATATCACGCCTCAAGTCACACGCCCACATAGACGTGCGCGTAGTAGACGAAGCCCATCTGATCTTCGACTCACAGACGGGCAGCGGCTTCCGCCCATGGATGCTGGACCGCTCACAGCTGAGATTTGTCCCCGGCGGATCTTTATCACGGCCAACCCCCCCCCCCCCCCAGCATGACGACTTCCTCCGGGACTACCAAAATCGTCCTAACCCGGTCATCGTGCGAAGCTACTGAATGTACGCCGGTCGGCAATGAGACCGATCTGATAAAGCGTCACGACTTCAGAGATGCTTCGCTTGCCGCGATGCATGCAAAGAAGACCGGAGGATTTATGGTTGGGGTTCTTCTAGAGCTACGTGAGATCAGAAAGGAGTTTCATTACTGCTAGCCGAGGCTGTAGCATGAACAAGAAGCTTCGTAGATCGGTCACCTCTCCTCCCACCCACAGAGAGAAGGTAGCAGCTTGAGCTCCTCTCAGCTCTTCCGCATAGCTTTTGTCACCATTGAGAAGGATATAGCTAGCTCTACACTTGAGGGTTTGCCGGACCGGTGTAGTCTCCAAGAAGGGCAACCACATTAGGGAAGGTTTGATTACCATGACGGTGGCTCATTGACCTCGTTCGACATACGGCATGCTCTGTCTACCTTGCATACACCTCTCACAAACTTGAGTGAGGCCGGTACGTCTTTTATATTGCCAGGAATAAGCACCCTTGAGACTCGCGTGCTTCTTACTCCAGTCCTGTGACACATCGTGAATTGGTAATCACCACAAGTGAGTATCCTCATTCAAGATCTAGGACGGAATGTCCTTCAGGGCCTTTGCCAATTTGTGACATACTAAGGTGAATATCTCGAGACGAAAAGTCCGTGACTATACCTGAGGAGGAAGACATAACGCCGCTGCCCCGTACATATACGTCCGTGGTACCTGCCATCGTGGTTGATTGACAATTGACGGCGGTGTTGAGTAGGCAGGCGTTGCAGAAGGGGTGGAACAAGATGTCAGCCGCATGTAGGGATGAGACGAAGCAACGAGATGAGAAAGTAGTTGGAACGAGGCTGGAGAAGGTAAGCCTAGTGATTGTCAGTTGTATCTCCCTAGGCATCTAGAGGCCTCCCTTGTCCGCCTAGTATTCAATGGAGTATCAGTATCAAAGGGAGGCGGAGAGTGCGAAATACAATCCTATACGTCTGCCAAAGACTTATCAAGTAGCCATATACTCATTTTACATCCAAAGGCAGACAGGACCAAATGAGGGACTGTCGGCTTATCAGCAACACTTGGAAACTGGGATTAATGGTATACGTAGAGGGAGTCTGTATTTCTGAGAAGAAACCTTGTAGGAGTTTATCAGTGCGGGAAGCCCCTCGAAGACGTGGTTTCTACCATTTTTTTGCGAGGCAGACTCTCTACAAATGCCATTCATCAAGGCTCTGTAAATTCCACCATCTAGTCTCAGAGACTTCGATTCAGCAGAAGACCTCAATCTCAGGCTGATCAGATCTTATTTGTGTACTTAACAAGCCCAATCGAAGCTGACATCTACACACCGGCCATGCGGAATATAGACGCTCAGGTACTCGCTGGCGAGGATATCTCTCGCTGTTCTTGCCCAGGCTCAGGTACAGCATCATATTACCTTGATACACATTTTTCGTACGCAAGCCTGTTGGGGTGTTCATATTCAAGTAGGACCATATTAACAAGTACGAAGTTGTCTAATCTTGGACATGCTCAAGCTTAGCACATAGGATACAACAACGAGCCGCTCACCACACTTGTTGAATGTAACAGATGCCTCCATTCAAGGGGTTCATGATTGACCTCCGTACACTGCGGCTTGACCAGAGCCAGTGACAGGTCGAGCAACTCGTACAGCCGCGTCACAGGTTGACTCGGAGCAACGGCAATCGGACATCGCAGCTCCCCTGAAACACCGAAGTCGTTGCCTTCTCTGATCTTCATCCATTCAAAAGGCAAATCAGGCATCGACGGCTTCGTAGTCATAAACATAACACATCAGTATGCGAGAATGCCCCCTTACCGGACTGTCTTACACCAAAGCAAGTTTACTCAGTGCATCGCAGACAAATCATAGGTCCACCATGACGTGAAGTCCGCGCCGTGAAACTCTCTCGAATCACACCTTGAGCTATTGTATCCAGACGGAGTGTCTATGTCGACGAGCAGACAGTCGATGATGTCTTCCGATCGGCGCCGTTCCATCCGTTATCTTT